CAAGGCCGTAACTTTGAATCAGCTGTGTTCCAAGAATGCTGCAAGTTGTTTGGCATCGGAAAGACCAGGACAACGCCACTACACCAACAGTCTGATGGGATGGTAGAAAAGTGCAACTGGACATTGGGACAGGAATTGGTCAAAGTTTTGTAATAGCTGCCAAGATGACTGGGATGTCTTACTCCCTCCACTATTGATGGCCTATAGGACAGCAGAGCATGAAACCACTGGATACACTCCAGCAAAGTTGATGTTTGGTCGGGAACTTCGGTTGCCAGTGGATCTGTTAACAGGACGCCCACCTTATGAAGAGCTGCCTGAGAATGTGTCAGAGTTTGTGAAAGTGTTATCAGAAAGGATGGATGATATTCACCATCAAGTGCGCTCAAACTTGAAAACGTCTGCTGATTCGATGAAGTTAACTTATGATCTACTGAAGTCAGCTTTGTACCAGGAGACAAGGTGTGGTTGTATAATCCCAGGAAGATCAAAGGGAAGTCTCCTAAGTTGTCTTCTCCATGGGAAGGCCCATATGACATAGTGGATCGTCTCTCAGACGTGTCTTTCGGAGAAAAATGTGGTAAGCGAGGTACGCCAAAAGTGGTGCATGCCAACAGGCTTTGGCATTATCATGGTCCAGGACATTTCAGTTGGGACGAAGTGAACAACAGAACAAATGACGCTGCTGAAAACGTGTTACCTGAAAAAGCCAACGTTGAAGAAGAAACTCTACTCAGTTTTGAGAAGAGAAACGGTGAAGCTCTTGATGAAGTTACTACCACTGATGTGACTGTTACCGATGATAGGACATTTCCTGATGAAGCAGATGAACCCCATATGAAGCAGAAGCCAACGAGACAGAGACCAGTATGGAAGAAGATACATCCCATAAAATTAAGAGACTTTGTTGAATTGTAATTTTGTGTTCGTAATTCTGTATATTTAATTAAGTTATTGTTAATTGTTATTGATCTAATGTAAGTGGCTATTGTTGCGAGGTCACGTGACTAGTATCACGCCACTTCTTTCTCGAACCCTCGTGAATTGTCAGGAGATTACTAGATTGGGGGTAATCTGGTACATATAAGATGGTCACAACGTGACGGGAAAACAGAGGTAATGAGTAATTGAATGTATGCGGATAAAATATTGTTGGCCATTTGAGACGTGAGTTATAGCGTTTTTATAGAGCATTGTTGAAATTAAGTGTATTGTGAAGTTGTGTTTGGAAAGAATAAATCAGTTTTATTTAAGAAAGGACTTGTGTCGCTAAAGTTTCGTCGGAACGAATCTACGGAAAATTAACTAACGAACAGAGACGT